CATGGGATGTGGTTTGGCTTGTTTGGATGATCTAAGGCTAAGTTTGATGGTCACAGAGATGACTCTATAGTTAGAAGCAACAGAGCTGAAGGACAAGTAGGATCTAGAGTCTCGAACACTATTCCTCCACTTTTTCCAAAAGATCAGATAATCAATCTGAGCATGTTCATCAAAGGGGTACTCAAATGTCCACAGTTAAACTCAAGACTACATGAAGCTGGTGTCTGAGCCAAAGAAGTTGAATTCTTCCATAAAGTTTTTGAGGTATTCCCTGTTGTGGTTTGTCACTTTGTTTAAGGTGAACTGTACTTCATCTGGAACTCGTCTGACATTCAGGTCAGTAGAAAGTTATGTGGAGGCACTTGTCCAACAGTGGTATGCAAAATTGTATAAAAGTCTTCTACCTCGCTCAATTCAGAGAAATTTTGAGGTCTATAGACATATATCACATTGTTTTAGGATTGCCTTCCAGCTGAAGTACTAGTATTCTGGTGGAGATTGACTCAACACCTAAGAGATTGTTGCTGGCTCTAGATGAATGTCAACACTTATAATGGTTGCAATGCTGGAGTTTCTTTGTAGCTGAGGAGATGACAAGTTTGTTAGATCCATCTGAGTGATATTTCAAGATGTCCTTAGGATGATTCTTGGACTGCAATGATATCTATAGATTGTGATTTTGTATTTTCAGCTAACTCTTAAAGGCAGCCTAGAGGGCTGATCATCCTTACATTCAAGGAGCGGATATGCTTTTTACAGCTTACAATGTGAGTTTGTGAGGTTGATGGACTTGAATAATCACTATTAGGAGATGCCTGTCTGGTTAGATTTGAGGCATCACCATTATTCAATACACCATGTGATGCATCAGGATCAGAGACAAAACCTGGAGAGGAACAGGTTGGATCTATATCAACAAGTATACTATAGAATATGGTTCCCTGTGGGATAGGAACACACACACACACACATATATATGTATATATATATATATATATATATATATATATATATATAAAAGGCAGGATGTGTGTGTTTGTACTGAATGCACGGCTGCAATTTTCGATGGATTTGCACCAAAATTTACATGCACATGCTCCAAGTTAGCGAAAAGGCCAAGACCGACTTTGCATTTCCCAACTCCCATTAATAGCAGAAATAATCAATTTTTTCATGTTTCTACGGCAGTTTTCATGTAGTTTGCAGCCATTTTGTACTGGCCAGAGTGAGAGCCTATAGCTGGCTGCCATGAATAGGCAGGAAGATTCTATTGGCCAGTGAAAGCCAACAGCTGACTGACATGAATGTTAACTAGCATGCTAGCATGCCAAAAAAAATCAATAGCTGCATTTCTCACAAATGGGAAAAATTTAAATCTGCATGGCACTTTACTCCAATTGGCTCATTTGCTTGCTTAAACTCAACGTTGATTCTGATTCCGCAGAACTGGGTTGGGTGTGAAAAAGTATTTGTTGTTAACATTCATTTTTCTAGTTACAAGTCCATTTTTAAAGCTTATCATTTTGTGTTCATTTTGTTTAGTTCTTTTTTCGTAACAGATTTAATGTTTAGTATAGAGCTTACAATTTTTTGAATCATGCACGAGTAATGCCAGGCCATGCTGCTAGTATATATATATATATATATATATATATATATATATATATATATATATATATATATGTATCCAGGTGAGATGATAATGGATGGAGTACAATTCCAATGTTTGTAACATTTAATTTAAAAGAGGACTCAATACATTGTAGAGCAAAATATTTATTTTAGGATATTATATCAAATACATGTCAAAAATTGCTACACAATTGCAGATGTGTTTCAATGCATATCAATGTGTCTCTTCAGGTGATTGTAAATTACTGGCAACTGAATGATTAATTTAATTTCAAAAGCAAAATACCTCCTCTTTTTTGAGGAAAAATATAGGCTTGAGGGCTTAACCTTGATCAATTAATCAAAAATGACCTACGTTAAATTCAAACTAAGCAAAGAAAAAAATGCTTTTTTAGAAAAGGTCATGATGCAAAGTTGTCTGAAACAAATTGCAGACATTAGATTAAAAACTGATACAGATGTTACTTTTAGGGAAATGTTTCTGAATTAAATGTAGGAAATTCTTGCTCAAATTACTACTGACCAATTGGTTAAATGGTGTGTATATCAAATAATTTTCCTATTTCTATTTCTTTTCTTTAGATCATATTTTCTATACTTGATTTCATTGTATTTGTAACCAATTTTATTATAACAGCATTATAAACACAGCTATGTTTATCAAACACATCTTTGTCAATAATAATATTTTAAACCAAGTTAAAAATTTGAATCATAATGCATGTTCCAAGATACATACTATTGATAATACTAACCAATGTAATTGTAGGAATACTGACCAATGCCCATTACCAAACAAATGTTTAAATCTCTTGTTTATCTAAGTACTATTTCTGCAAATGAGAATCTGACTGTTGAAAAATTCTAT